TTAAAATCAAAGCAGAATCTGAAATTTGGTGACGAAAGTTTTGATAATTACTTTTTTGTGTGTGTTTTTGTTCTCAGTCCTGTGAAAATGAAGTCATTTAAACAGAATAAAGAAAGAAAAAAAAGGGACTAATTTTCACCAACCGCTGCGATGGTTTGTAGCGCCGTCTGTCACTGTGTGTGGGTTGTGTTTTTATCAGTCGCCTTTTGTATTTGCCGGGGCTCTATTAAAATATTTTCCAGGGTTATAATTTGCTCGTTAAAAGTGTAATGAAGCTCAATTTATTTGTTATGTCACTGTGTTCATCACAGTGAACAGCTCTGGTTCTGCCTCAGTCTGATCCTCAAGTCCACGCCCGTGGTGGTTTTTATCTTCATCGAATCCTTCAAAGAAAGTACGTGCGTTACACGCTGTACAACCTCAGCCTCCTCAGCAGGGGGCGACGTCTCTGCTTGTTCTGTCTTGTCTTTGAGCTGAACACCGCATGGAGTCTCTCGCCGTCTCCGCTCACAGCATCAGACGCAGGCTGAAACATTAACACAGTCGTGAGAGCAGAGTGAATCCACAGCCTGTGTTTAACAGCAGTCTGCGCTTTTTCCATAGATACCTGACAGAGTTTTTGTTCCTCCAGGCGCCGTCCAACTCTCCCTCTGCTGGTTCACACTGCTGTTTTAATCCAGTGACTCACTTCTCTTTCCATTTCTGCATCTTTCTTCCTTCCTTTGAATGTTTCCCATTTCTAAGTTTTCAGGTTATTATTAGTCTTAATGATCGTTTTAACATCGCTGTTGTTTTCGCCGCCTTGGTGATCATAACAGCTGAAGGTCGAGGCGACGCTCGTGCACGCACGCAACTCACATGCACTGGCATTCATTCGTGTCCGCTGTACTTTGAGCAAACCTGTGTGTCATTGCCAAGTGTGTGTGTGTCACTCTGGTCCCAGGGCTAAGACGGTCTCGCCTCCAACAAGTGTCCAGGGACCTACCCAAGACCGCCTTGTTTACCCAGCTCTGTTATGAAGATTGAGAGTTATTTTTAGT